AAAGAAAAATATGAAACTTTTCTTAAATGTGCGGGCCAAATAGACACGATGTAAGAGGAAGACAGTGTTTCCCTTCTTGGGTGTGATTATGTGATATAGCAAAAAACATACTCAGTCTGCCTTGGCTCCTGACGTATTTCTCCTAAGCCTCTGCGATCTCCTTCATAGCAGGACTGCGAGGCGCGCTTCTGTTCTAACAGCTAGGCTGTAGCTGGCGCTCCTGACACAAAGCTCCTAAGGCCTTTCTAACTTCCTGAGTGACAGGCATCCAACAGAGCCCTAAGCCCCCTGAACTGTCCAGGGCGACTGAAGAATCCTCTGTTCTAATGACGGGATTCTTGATGTGATCCAGGGGATGGGGCTGTTGCCAGGGTGATTAGAGCGCTGTAGCTTCCTGTCCCTCCCCTGACCTCCAGGGAGGACAGGGATGAAGGCTGAGTCAATCACTGATGAGCCCACCTAATGAGGCCTCCATAAGCACCCAAATGGGTGGAGTCAGAGCTTCTAGGTTGTGGCACACCCAGAATGCCTGGAAGATCGAGCTTGAGGCCGCTCCTACATACTGAGCATATGCGCTCTTCCTCGGCCTTGCTATCTGTAGAGTGCACTATCCTTTATAAATAGGAAAATGCAAAAAAACCCTGAAATATTAGGGCCAGGGAGATGGCTCAGTGGGATAAGTGCTTCCCTGGCAAGTGCAAGGGCTTGAGTTCAATCCCCAGTTTCGGGGGGGGGGGGAACCAAAGGAAAAAAAAACCCAAACTGAAATATAAACAGGAAAATGCCAGTGTCTCCAGGTCCCTTCCTGCTCCTAACCCAACCCAAGGAGGATGTCACAGAAACCTCTGATATACAGCCAGTTTCTCTGAAGGGCAGGTCCCAACCTGGGACTTGACCCTCAGTGGACTCAGGACAGTCCTGCTGGATTAAGCTATTAACCTGTCAGATCTGATGCCACCTCCAAGGGGAATATGTTGGAGAACTGCTTGATACAGAAAGAAAATCCCCGCACATTTTGGAGACAGAAACATGCTGTGCTAGGAGGGCTTTGGCCACTTGCCCTGTGCAGTGAAGGGCTGAAGCTGATTGGCGCTCTGCACGCTAACACCAGCCCAAGCAGGTAGGCGGGGCTCCGGGCCTCTCATGTCCTGGGGCCCAGTGGACAAGGAGGGTGCTTGCCTTACTTTTCTCATTCCTGACACCCACAATTTATTTAAAAAAAATTTTTTTTTCCATTTATGTATTTGGTACAGGGTTTCACTCTGTAGCTCAGACTCACAGGGATCCTCCTGTTTTCTGCCTCCCAAGTGCTGGGATTACAGGCGTGAGGCACCATGCCAGGACTTGGTTGCCGGCTCAGTGCATCCCAGCCAGCGCAGCATGTGGGACCAGGGACTGGATCCTGGTTTCTGGGCTGGCCAAAGCAGGTGCTTAGTCTGCTGAGTTATCTTGCGGGCCCCAATACTTAGGGAGTTTTTGGGTTTTTTTTCGGTATCATTCCCCTGAGCTATCTCCCTGGCCCCTTGACACCCACAATTTAAAGGAGAGTTTTATTTTAGTTTAAAGTTTGCAGAGGTTTCAGTCCACAGTGGGCTAGCTAGCACCTGGATAGGATGGGATGGCAGAGAATGACCTGAAGGCATGGAAGTGGGGAGCAGAGAGATCAAGGCAGAAAGGAGGGAGATGGACCCTTCCAGGCCACGCCTCCAGTGACCAACTCCCAAATCAGTCAGCTATAAACTCAACAGCAGACCCATCCCCGGTGAGGATCACACATCCGTGACCCAATCCACTCCCCAAAAGCCCACCTATGAGTGCACGAAGCTTTGGGGAGACATTGAGATTAAATCACAACACTGAGGAAACTGTGGCTTCAGAGCAAGAAAGATGGAGACCCCAGGCTTTTAGACAAAACACAGGCTCCATGTGGCAGCATCTGGGCTCACCAGACTCTGGCTCCTGTCCGCTAGCTGGCCTCGTTTAGCAGGTCCAGAGTTGTTCACCATGAGGAAACTAGTCACACTCCCCAACCCCAGTGCCATGTCTTTCGTTCCACCCTTGGCCTATCCCTTCTGTGCCTCCCACTCTTCCCAGCCCAAAAACACTTACCTTTCATTTTAAAACCAAACAACAACAACAAAAAAACCAAACAACTTTTTTTTTTTTAGGCGACAGGATCTTTGTAACTCAGGCTGGCCTTGAACGATGCGGCCGGGCTGGCTTCACATTCACAGCGATCCTCCTGCCTCAGCCTCCCAAGTGCAGTCATGCAGCACCACACCTGGCTGAAAACACCTGCTTTCCAATTTGTGGACAAGTATAAACTCCCCAAGATGAATGCAATCAGGTACTGCAAACATATGCTGGTAAAGATTAAAATAAAAAAATCAACAATTCAAAGCAGTAACACATTTCAAAGCTGCTCAGCCAGGCCATTTTCCTCTGGATAATCTTGGCCCTTACCAGTTACGCTTTCCTTTCCAGGAAGCCAGCAACGCACGCTGGCGAGAGCGCTTACATCAATGCTCAGCGTACACTGAGTATGTACTTAATACGTTAAAGCATCCCACCGCTTCCATCAGCTTCCTGCGGAGCCAGCTCCAGCAGGGCTCCACCTGTGTGGCTCTCCTTTGCCCACTGCTCTCTTGTTGCTAAGAAAACTGATGAGTAAAACCAGGTCTTCTGGGGGTGAAGGAAAAAAGCACCCCGTCATGATACTGCGGCGACCCACGTCACCAGGTGACGGACACCAACTTGGCAAACTTATTTCTGACCCTGATGACAATGTTGGCTTCTAAGAAGAACGAGAAAACCAGAGTGTGTTTTATCACCTGACTCCTGGGTGTGTGTCCATTTCCTGCTGCCTCCAGGCTGAAGATGGCAAGAAAAAGGAAGCCATAAGGCAGCAGTGTAATTTGTAACCCCGTGTTCTGTATTATTTTTCCACTGCTAACAAAATCAAAGTTCTAGGAAGTCATTCTATGGCACAGAAACTAAAGATGACTCTCCCACCCTTCCACCCAAGGGTGTCCTTGCCTTTGGACACAGTGACTGACTCCTGTCCCTTCTTTAGCTCCTGTCTTAAGCCACTGAACACTGCCTTGCTCCTCAATCCTGCCAGCCAGAGAGAAACGCAGAAAAAGGGGCAGAGTGCCCAGTATGTCAATTTGCCATGTTCAGCTTGAGTACATCATCTTTTAACTAAAAATTTTTTTTTTATTTATTTGATACAGGGTCCCACTATGCAGCTTGGACTCACAGTGAGCCTCCTGTCTCAGCCTCCCCAGCACTGGTTTTATAGGTATGTGCCACCACACCCGGTTCCAGGGCTGGTAGAGCACGGGGTACTGGGGATTGAACTCGGGTCCTTCAGCTTGCCTGGCAGGCCCTTATGCAGCTATTTCCCCAGACCCTGAATGCATTTTTATTTATGTGAAATTCAGAAAAATTTTAAACACTGAGGATTCTATGTGGCGTCAATGAGGACAGCATCATGCACCCAGAGACAAGAGCACAAAGGCAACCTGCTTGTCATGGGGAAGGCCTGGCCCACTCTGCCCGGCAGGCTCACTAAGCGCCATTGCTTCTGGTGCACAAATACGACTGCAGGCCCAGTTTCCCTAGCCAAGCGCAAAGATACTTTGAAACGCAGTTTATGATGTTTTTTACAAACAAACAAAAAAAACTCAGGTGCTTGTAATAATCCACTCTGAAGCTGAGTAAACAGACCATGGCCACCATCTAGACCATGTTTCCAAATGCGAATTGTTTTTTAAAATTCGACTTTTTGTTCTGGTAAGGTAGAAATTTAAAATAAATTCACACAGTGAAAGAAGACATTATGTAATGTTTTAAACTTCAAATTGCTTCATACCCTCTAGAAACATTTTTCTGTTTTGAAAGACAACCATAACCTAGGAAAAACATCTCATTTTCCATGGGGACCCACAGGAACAGGTTTCTGCATTAGTCTGAGCAGCAGGGAACAGAAAAAGATTGTTTTCTGCAGTGCGAATTCGCTAAGTGACACAACAGATCCTTGATCTCTGTGTCAATATTCTGTGGTTGCTGTCGCAGCCGCCATAACCCAAACAAAGGAAGAGAGAGTACAAAAACCTGCGAAGTCCAGGGCCTCTCTCCCTTACCCAGCGCGCCTGGCTGCCCGCCCTGGACCTACACTAGGGGCACAGTCCCTTCGTAAGCCTCTGGTCTCCCTGCAGGACCTCCGCCCTTTACTTACAGAACAGCGTCTCCTGACCCACAATGGACAGAGTACAAGCATCCTCTAAATGGGTGGTCTGTGACGCAACCTTGAGCAAGAGACTGAGGACACACTTGTAAACAGGTTACACGAAACATTATTCACCTTGCCTATGCTAATACATTCTAATAGTTTCTCTTTTACCTTATTTCATTGTCTTCAAATGCTAGTTTTTGCCCACAGCATTGATTTCACAAGCCATAATGAGCCCAGACTTGGGAGTTTGAAATACAGGGATGTACGCCGCCACTGTGGGACACGTAGTTACGCACAGTGTTTACATCAGCCAACGGAACTGTAAAAGGCTAAAAGATCTCAACAGAAAGAGAGGACCTCTCTTCTGTGCACATAAAAAGGTGAAGAGTTGAACATCGTTCTAAAGAAATGGTGCTCAGGAGACCTTGGAGCGCAGATAAACCTGGGCAATGTTTTCAAAGGAGCCCGAATAAGAATGTGGCGCTCCCTGGGCCCCACCAGCCCGCACAGAGGCCAGAGGGACTCCCGTGCCAGTGCTGCAATGCAATCACACCCTCCTTCTGTTGCAAGAATTATAAGGCTCTCGGGACCGGGAAGAACCTTAAATGTTAAAGTCTATTTCCTCCCGTCAGATGACCAAAGTCAATCCGCGTATCCTTTAAAAAGCAGAGCACCAATTTTGGTCCTACCAAAAATAACTAACTTTAGTTATAAGTAGGGTTAAAAAAATGATTCACCTAGATGTACAACTTTTTTAAAACAATGACTAGAATTTTATTGGTCAAGGGAAAACAGCTGGAGGTAAGATAAAAAAAGAATACATCTTAGGAATCCTTAAGTACATCACAATTTACATTTTGAGTATCTTATTTCAGATGGCTGCTGTTCACCAGCTCATTAAATGCTGATGCCAGGATCTTCTTCTGAAGTCCCAGATGTCATAGGCTTGCCTGTTGATTAAATTATGTCCACGGCCCTGTGGCTCAGGAGACTCTAGTAGCTGCCTTGGCCTCTATGTTTGGCACCAGCAGAGCCCGCTGGTGGCACAGGCCTCAAGTTTGGAGGTTGACACTGGCTCTGCAAGCAGTGCTTGTCCCCATGAAAACTTCCACTGTGGTAGCTCAGCAGGTGCCGCCAGAGTCCGGCTCTGTGACCCTGGCCTCACCTTTAGCTGGCACTGTCCATGCCACAGCTGCCGAAGAGAAGAGACAAGGAAGATTTCCAGGGAGAAGCTGTGGCAGTGGTGGTCCGCAAGGGGAATTGCTCCCACGCTGCTAGGGACTAGGATTTCCACCAGGCGCACGGTCTGTGAGCTCAGAAAGTGCTTTCCAGCAGGCAGTGGCACCCGCACCCTGTGGGACACACCTCCTGGGTCCGGAACCACTCCATCATGTGGCTGGTGTGGCCACCGTGCCCACAGGTCAGGCAGAAGTTGGACGAGCCACGCACAGCCACGTGGCAGATGGCACACTGGAAAGTGAAGCCTTTGCAGATGGCACACTGCGCGCCACGGACCTCGCTCCGGCAATGGCTGCAGTACACGCCGAACTCTGCAGAGGGGTGGAAACAGGCAAACAAAGCACCGTGAGACTGGCTCAAGGAAGCTGGCACTATCAGGCAGAAAGACTACTGCCCTCGTGCTTCTGTCAGACCAATGGTCTTCCTTTTTTCTCTCCTGTTTTTTGAGATAGGATCTTGCTATGAAGTTCAGGTTGGCCTTGATCTCCTCTCTGCCTTCGCTGCTGGAGTGCTGGCGTTACGGGTGTGCACAACCTTGGCTGGCACCTTTTTTTTTAAACATTGGAACTACTTCTGCAATGTAAAGAAGTCTCCCAAAGTGGAGCCACTGCCACACAGTGGCGGGGGCGGGGGAGGCTGGAGGGGTGGCTGGTCTGTGGCTCTTAGAGGCCCGTGAGAAACCCACTCTGGCCCCACAGCTGGCATGTGATCTGCTGAAAGAATGGAATAGCTTGGAAGCATTTCAGGTGAAAGTGCAGTGGCTTTACCAACTTGACAGCCTGTTCTCCTTTTTCTGAGATAGGGTTTCTCTACATTGTTCAGGTTGGCCTCAGACTCACTATGATTCTCCTGCCTCAGCCTCCTAGCTATGAGATTACAGGGTTGTACCACCATACCCAGCTTTAGTCAGTCCACCTGACTGCCCTCCTCCCCACTGGTGGGAGGTAGGATGGCCACATCTGTGTGGCTCCACCTCTCTGCCAGGCACAAGTCCTGCCTCTCGGAAGAGGACGTGAGGTTCAGCCTCCCACCTGCAAAACCCAATCCACTTCAGTTCTCATTGTGGTGTCTCCAAAACGCACCCTACTAAGGCCCTCTGCTCTACCTGCCCCTTCTGGCTGCACTTACCCTGTGGCCAACCTGAAATTACAGGGCCAACTTTATCTATTCTGTAGTACTAGGGATTGAACCCAGGGCCTTCGCCCTCAGCTACATCTCAGCCCTTTTAACATTTTTTATTTTGAGGCATGGTCCTGCTTAGTTGCCTCAGCTGGGCTTGGCAATTCCACTTTCTGGGGCTGGGATGAGAGGCCTACTACACTCAGCTTACAGGGCTGACTTTAGAATTATTTCTTTGCAAATACCCTCAATTTCCTGCCCCTGCTCCTGCACTGTACCAGCTGGCAGATGTGCAAGCCTGTGTCCCCTGTCCCTGTACATCTGTTCCAGGGAGCTGAGTGGCCCTTGAGGAGGGCCTACCATCAAGAAGTGCGTCTCGCTTCACACGCCCTGCCACACTCTGACTCTGCTGTCCCCACAGGACTGTCCCTTTGCGAGCTTCTCTGTGAGCCTCTGCGCTCCTCTCCAGCTGTCTCTCACTTCCTGAGGAAACACACACCCCTGCGGGGGCAGGGGTGCCTTCTTCTTCACGATGCTACCTCTGCAAACCGCCTGGGCTTGCTTTCTTCCTCAACCTCTCTGTCCTTCTTCAGGGATAATTTTTACAATAGAACAGTAAGGACTGAATAAAACTGATGAAAAAAAGTATGGCTAATGGCCTATTTTCTAATAGGCATTTTTACTTATTTGTGTGTGTGTGTGTGTGTGTGTGTGTGTGTGTGGCCAGCTCAGCCCACCAGGGGGCGGGCTGGCTGGCATGTGGTGCTGGGGGATTGAACCGCGGTCCCTGTGCTCTGCTAAGTTTGTTCAAAGTAGGTGCTTTAGACCACTGAGCCATCTCACCAGCCACTCTAATAGGCATTTGGGAGAAAACTCCTTTTCTTGCTCCACCTCTCATCGTATCAGGTTATATATTTTAAAAATATATTAGTATATTTTGTGACAATCAACATACCCTTGTGGGGTGTTGGTACCTGTACATATTCTATCTTTATCCCTTTTTTTTTCATTTATGTATTTGGTACAGGGTCTCACTACACAGCTCAGACTCATAGTGATCCTCTTGTTTTCACCCTCCCCAGCACTGGGATTACAGGTGTGCACCACCATGTCTGGACTCGTTCACCAGCTCAGCGGCCCACATCTTTATCCTTTTTACTGATAGACTATACTTACAAAAATTATGTGAACATATCCTGTCCCAGTTAGTTTTCCAGAATGCATAAGGAAAAAAATATTCAAAAAAAGATCTTAATAAAGATTATATCATTACTTCATGAGGAAGACTTAGGAACAGCAGTTCCATAGGCAACAGTTCTATACTGATTGACCTTATCTACACAACTGCTCGAAACAATGGTTAAGTGTCAAACTCCCTATTCATGGAAAAGTATTTATGTAGGTTCAATTAGAATCTGCCTCCTGGGCTGGGGAGATAGCTCAGTGGTATAAGTGCCTGCCTGGCAAGTGTAAGGTCCCGAGTTCTATCCCTGGTACTGAAAAGAAAAAGAAAAAAAAAGAAAAAAAATCTGCCTCCTTATCAGGATACAAATGGATAGATTAAGTTTATGGCTAAGGTCATACCTAAAAGGTCACATTTAAATTCTACTGTCATTTAATTGAGTCTGATAAACCATTTTTAGGAGGAGGACGAGAATGCTTTCACACAGATATAAAGTCTACAAGTCCTCCCAGAAAACTGTTCATTGCCTTAGGGACTCCCAGCCTTACACAAGCAGAGCTGTTCTGACTTGACAGGCCAGAAAAAGTGGTAAACTTGGGGATCACAGATAAGAGGCACAGTACTGGTTTCGCAGTTAAAACTTGGTAGAGGAGAAATGGATCATCCTTGGCTCCTAACAGACAAATAACGAAAGGTGATCAAATACTTCAGAGCTGGATGTGCTGGTACGTGCTGGCACTCTGGGAGGCTGGAGGAGGACCACACTTAAGCCCAGCCTGGGCAAGTTAGTGACTTAGTGAAACCCTATCTCAAAATAAAAAATGGGCTAGGGACGTAGCTCAGGGTGAAGGCCCTGAGTTAAATCCCCAGGATGAGGAAGGGGAAGGGAGAATTTAAGCACACAGAATAATCCAGTGATGATGCTGAGGTTCTACAAAACCTCCACACAGAAGCTAACTCCGAAGGCACAAGATGCTAGTTTGTTAACCATGCAAAAGAAAGGGCACAAATGTAAATAAAACCAGCCAAATAAATAAAACCTTACATTACCACAGGGTCTTGAGTTCAATCCCAAGTACCACAAAAAAAAAAAAAAAAAAAAAAAAAAAAAAAAAAAAAAAAAAAAAAAAGACCTTAGATTAGTAAACTAGACTAGAAAACTGCTGAACCAAATGTAAGCAGCAAGATCCGCATCTCTAGGGAAGGAATTATCCTGATGGGGAGGCTGAAAAGGCAATGTACCCCCTTTCTTTGCCCCTGCTACAACAGGCACATCACACACTGCATGGGGGAAAAAAAACCAAGAAAACAAAAAAAATCAACTTAGTTTTTTTTTTCTTCTGTATTTTAAGGAAGGGTGTACAGGGTGTTTAGGGTCTCACTACTGGATTGGACTCAGTGATTCTGTTTTTACAGCCTCCCAAGTGCTGGGATTACAGGCATGCACCACCACACCCAGTCTCCATTGCCATGTCAGTATGCCCCGGGGGCGGGGTGAGCACAGCAGGCCCCGGGATTGAACCTTTGTCAGCCCCGGGCCGGGGTGAGCACAGCAGGCCCCGGGATCCAACCCTTGTCAATGTGCCTGCACGCAAGTGCTTTAATCAGCTGAGCTATTTGGCTGGCTCTAACTTAGATTTTTTTTTTAAAGGGATTTTTTTTTTTGGCTTTTTCTTCCTTAATTAAGGGAAGGCTTGAGCCCACCCTATAAGTATCTAATTTCCTATGCATGAAAACAACTCTATCCTTCAAATTTCCTATGGTGAAGCCTGCAGATCCTGGATGACCCTCGCAGGGAAGACAAATAGGAAGGGAAACCACTGCAGTTTGTCCCTAAAGAGACCACTTATAGCCCTGGGAGCCTTGGGTAGTTTTTCCCCAAACCCAATAGCAGCCTGGCGATGGGGCACACTTGTAACTTAGGACTCAACCATGGCAACCCAGCAAGACCTTGTCTCCAAACTCTTTAAAAGGGGTGGGATGTAGCTAAGTAGTAGTGAGCTTGGAGTACATAGGGGAGGCTCTGGGTTTAATTCCTAGCACTGCATAAAAAAACAATTAAAAACACAAAATACCCTACTGGGCCCTGGATCTGGCTAGCCAATTCCTCCAAAGTCTGGATCTCTACCTTGTAAAGCTTAACATAAAAAGCAGCTCTCTTAATGTTTTTGTCTGAAAATCTCTTACAGTCTGTCTGCCTCCCTTTTGAAACCTTGTGATTCTGTTTTTGTTTTTTTGAGACATGGCCTTGCCCTGTAGTTCAGGCTGGCCTTAAACTCCCTATGTAGCCTAGGTCAACCTTGAACTCATGGTGATCCTCCTGCCTCAGCTTCCCAAGTGCTGAGATTACAGGTGTTGCCCACCACGCTTGGCTTGTGATATTGTTATTGGTATGTGACATTCTAGTCACTCTTGTTGTTGTTGTTTTTTTTTTACTCTTGTTTTTTAATGAGACAAGGTCATATAGTCCAGACTGTCCTTGAACTTGATAGGTAACACAGGCTGGCCTTGAACTTGGATCCTCCAGCCTTCACATCCAGTTTCAGGCTACTTACTAATTCCTATTTTTTAGGTGTTCATGAATTTATGCTTTAAACTCTGGATTACAGACTTCTTGCCCTCACTCCAAACCACAACTCTTTTTCTGTATATACCACAGAATTAAACCCTAGGTGTCAGTAAGGGTTAAGGTAACTAAGGGACTGATATCTATTCCCTATCTCTGTGATCCATGTTTTCCTAAAAACTAATTTTAAAAGACAGCTTTCTCTGGGCTATCATTAATATCTACCTGTTAGATTTTCCTGCACGGAGATGCTCTGAAAATATATGCTGCCTAAACACCATTTTGTGTGTCTGCATTTCTTCAAGTATGTAAACTAAAATAAACCATAGTAAATTAATCTTTGCTATTTCATATCTAAATGTAAGTATTGTTCCACTGGGTTTTTCCAATTGAACTATGTATATACAACTTCAGTCAAGAGCCAATCATGATGGTGCATAGCTGTAATCCTAGCACTTGAGAGGCTGAGGCAGGAGGCTCGCCCGAAGTCTGGGCCACACAGTGAGTTCAAAGCCAGCCTGAACTACTGTTATGGTTTGTGTCTAGCTGTCCCCACAAAGCCTCATGCAGTCACAGGGCAGGGATTTCTAGAGTTTGAGATTAACTGATCCACTGTGATTATGGGTCTTAGTACTGCTGGGATTATGGGTGTGGAAACTTCTCCCAGCCTGGGGCGGATAGCCTGAATGCAATTTTTTTTTTTTTTTTTTTTTTTTGTGGTACAGAGGATTGAACTCAGGACCCTGAGCTTACCAGGCAAGCACTTATTCTACTGAGCTATCTCCCCGGCCCACTGAATGCAATTTAAGAGTGACAGACTTGCTCTCTGTTGCCATTGTTGCTGCTACTCCTCCATTTTGCTCTTTGCCCTTTGCCACCACCATGAATGGTTGCTCTCTACCACGTGCCAGCCTGCCTTGGAGCCAGCTGAGAATGGGCTGAAACCTCCAGTAACTGTGAGCTAAATAAACCTTTCCTTCCTTCACTGTGAGGGTCAGGTATTTGCCCCAGCCACGAGGGAAGAGTAAATGAGACAACTACATAGTGAGAATCTGTCTCAACAACGCCCCCAACGAAAGGGCAAATAGTTCTGCACATCTTACAAAACTTAGCACTCCCTGTATCTCTCACCTCATTACTCCTAGAAGAAATCTTTTCAGTTTACTGCAATGTATCTTTTGTTTTTATCTTATCTTGAAGCAGCATACTGATGAAGCTATTTCTTCTATACAATCTGTAAGCATCATCTACTATCTACGACCTCCCCCAGGGGCCACTCCTTTCTCATCCCCACCTGTCTCCCCAACCCCCACACTCCACCTGTCCCTCATCCTCCCCAGTTGTATTCTGGCTGGGTTGTGTTCTGCTTGTCCGTTATTCACCCAGGTAAACATCACTCATCTGTGCACTAAGACAGTTTTCCTTTCCTGCACATTTTGCTTTTCCCAGAATTAGTAACTGTCTCATTTTCCTCATGTGCTTAGTTTGCTATGTACTTATCAATAATTCACCTCCAAACTCTCCCTCAAATATTTGATTCTTCTATAAATACACTGAACACTGCAATATACTAGGTACGTTATTTTCAGTCGGCTGTGCCTGAAACCAAGGCTCCTGCAGCCCCAGTGGGCTGGGGCTATCTATCTAGGACTGTCACAGCGAGCCCCCACCTCAGTGTCTGACCCCTTCCCTTCCTGTGCAGATTCCAGGCCTCCACTTCCTCAGGACGAAGGTCTGCTATCACATGTGACTGATAATCAGGGTTCAGACTCTGGAAGGAATCATTTTCTTGATAATTCTGGAGGTAGTGGCACACTCTCTTCTAGTTCCCAGAACTGTTCCTCAGAGAGAGGTAGGTGTGGTATCATCCACTGTCCCCATCCTTCATGTGTGATCCATTTTGTCTCTGAAAATTTGAGGGTGCCTTCTGTGTCCCTGGTCTTTTTCCCTTCATCAGTGTAGGTACTTGGTGGTTCAGTGCAGTGTGGGAAAGTATTCTGCTCTGAAGAATAAACTTCCAGGGTACAGCAGGGGTGATTCCGGCTCCACAAATTAGGAGGGTGAACCTGGGGACCATAGAGGCCATCAAACAAGACCATGGCTTCTAGTCTCACCTCCAAGCCCCTCCCAGAGGCACTAGGGACCCCTGACTCCTGAGCCACGCAGGGCTCTGCAGGGGCCTTTCTGCTCCCGACTCCCAGCTCAGGCTCTGCTTCTCAGGCCCGGGAAAGCCAGCCACCTATCTGCTTCCCACAGCCCACACTTCCCTGCGACATTCTTTTTTATACAGTCACGCTTTTCAGAAAAGCTCTGTACAGACACTTGGGTGAGTCTAAGGAGAGAGGAAATCAGTGTGTTCAGCCCACTCTCTCTGGCGGGCTTCCATTTCTTCCTTTCAAAAAATGTTTTTTGCTTAGGAGCACTCACATCACAGTCTAGCTTTCCCTCCAACTCGTAGGCATCTCATTTGGAGGCTCTGGTTCTGGATCTTTCCCTTGGCCCCAGCTCCAAGCCCTCGCTCCATCTAGGCCCAGGCGGGTGGCCAGCTGTCAGCCGCGCTCAAGCTGTGTTCTCCCCTCTGGCTCCCAGGTGAACCCACCCATCCACACAACCCCTGCCCCAATCTTTCCTGAGCTCCACACACATCCCAGGGCCTACAGACTCCTGTAAGTTTCTGTCTCCTGCACCCTGTTTTCTCTTAGAACACCACACTGCCACCTGCCCAGCCAGTTGGAAATCACGAATCAGCAGGCTTTGTCCTCCTTCCTCAAGCCCACATCGGTTTATTAGCAAGGCGTGTTGAGTAAGCGTGTTGATCTCTCTAACAGATTTTAGCCTAGCAACCTCCCTCCACCTCCAGGGATGTCCTCTGAGCAGGCTGCCAACCTCTCTGACCTGTGTGCTACTCGCCAAACAGTGGTCCTAGTTGTACTTCACCCTCCCAACAGCCAGGGTGAACTCCCTGAAGTGTAAACCAGAGCCTGTCACTCTTTGTTTTTAGCATGTTGCCTCTTAACCGCCTCTGAGGCTAGCTATGGGGGTTGGGACACAGCCCCAATTCTTTCCCACAACCTACAAGCCTTTCCTGCTGTGGCTCTAACATCCTACAATCTAGTTTTTTGTTTAATGTTATTAAAATATTTTAATAATTTCTTTTATTTTAATAATTTTTAACCAACATAGTAATGGCGCGTTTATGAGGCACAATGGATGTGGCACTTCCCACAGTACTATAATACAATGCATAATGATTAGATCAAAGTAACCGGCATATCTGTTACCTCAGACTTAATTTAATCATTTCTTTGTGCTGAGAACACTGAAATTTCTCTTTAAGAGCTATTTTATTTCATTTTAATGTATTTGGCATAGGGTTTCACTAAGCACATCGGACTCGTAGTAA